AGGCTGTCAGCTTCTAGGTGGAAAGTTGGTGAGCTGGACAAGAAAAAAGCAAAATTCAGTGTCTACATCAACAGCTGAAGCTGAGTATGTAGCCGATGGTAGTTGCTGTGCCCAAATTCTTTTGATGAAAAATCAGCTACTTGACTACGATCTTCAGTTTTCAAGAATTCCTATTTATTGTGATAGCACTAGTGTGATTGCAATTGCAAACAACTCTGTTCTTCACTCCAAAACCAAACATATTGAGATCCGATATCATTTTATCAGAGATCATGTTATGAATGGTGATATTGAACTTCACTTCGTTCCAACTGAGTATCAACTCGCTGACCTTTTCACCAAGCCTCTTGATGAGACAAGATTTAATATCTTGATCAGCGAATTGGACATGTTGAACACTGAAGATTAACCTTCTGTCATTAAACATCACTCAGTAAGTGAAATGATTTAGTGCTCTATCTCTAACACTGAACTCTTGAGTAAATATATCTACTCTCTAAGTATGATTACTCTTCTCTTTTCAAAACTTAAAACCATCATTGAATACTTTCTCTTTTTCAGTGATAAAATGTTTTAAAAGGTKGTCTCAGTGATTCTCAACACACCACATCTTAAAGTATATTTTTATACTTAACTTAGAAATCTAAAAGATCACTGACTCTTTTCTTCAGTGACCAAAAAGTTTTTTAAATGCCAGTTTCAGTGACTCTTTTCACTAAAACATGACGTCTTAAAACCATCACTGCATACTTTTTATTTTTCAGTGATAAAATGTTTTAAATAGAGTTTTCAGTACCCTTTTAACTGAATGACTCTTCATATTCTTAAAAACCTTTTTGTTTTTAAAAGAAAATAGTTAATGCATCGTCTTTATGATAACATTCTCTGTTTACTATGAGCGACGCTTTGAGACGCGCAAAATGACCTGTCATTACGCTACCTCATTAAATGTCATCCAATCGTGGATGAGAACGTGACATGTTTTTCATCATGACCACTTTCCCGAACCGTCATCTTTTTCCCTCTCATATTTCTTCTCTCTCCTCTTACCTATAAATATGAGATGTCTTCTTCACTTTTCTCTTTACGCTTTCAAAATCTTTAGACGAACCTCTGCTAAGATTACTCCAAAGCAAGAACTCTCTCTTCAAACCTCTCTTTTTCGACCTTTCCTCTTTATTTTCAAAGGTCAGAATCTTCTTTCTTACTACGTTATAAGAAATATGTTTAATCTTATTAAGAACTTTGTTCTCTTAATGCATTAAACTGTAAAAAAAATTTAATCATCTCCTTCTTGATTAACAAATCTGTTTCTTTATACACATTCTACTTGAAAAACCCTAATCTTTTGAGGATTTTTCAAATGAAGTTTTTTTGTTTAAAAACTTTTTCTATAATCTTTGACCATATACTCTTGGTGTATTTCTAACCAATCTGC